CTAAGCCTTTAGGTGGACATCCCCAGAGGGCTCCCTGGCTGCCAGAAGGATATCTGACTGCAAGCTCAGACCTGATCCACCTGGAGTGTGGGCCTAAGTCACTGGCAGACATCCCCCAAGGGGTCCTGGACTGCAAATGGGCGCAGGCCGGGCTGAGAGGACCCCCTCTCCCCGGAGTACACAAATTGTTGTGCACCAGGCCTCTAGTAAATCTGTAATTATAAAAGTGTAATATGCTAATTAGACCAGACAACCTTTCAGGATGACCACCCAGGACCATGCTATGACACCCAATGATGCCAGGCCAGTTAAGGTGGATGTGATGTGATTGGTTGGAGGCCCAGCCATCAATCCATGATTACCCTGCAGAGGGAGCTAAGGTCCCAGGTGCCAGAGTGAAGCCAGGGGAAGAAGGCCAACTCATGCAAGAATTTCATGCATTGGGCATCTAGTAAGTAAGTATATAAATAAATAAAGCAATAGCTGAACAAATAACTGTTAACAACAAACTAGTCAAAAAACTCCCATCAAATAAATGTCCTATATCACATGGTTTCCCAGATGATTTTTACCAAACACTCTCAGAACTAACACATTTCATTCTTGAATAATTTTGAGCTATTTTAGTAAATTTCTGCTTCTCCTCAAGTTTTCTTTAGAAACTAAGATTAACACAGGGAAAGTAGTAATGCTTTCTATGGCAATATATTTCAGATAAAACAGAAACCTTTTTTTCATTGATCAGATGAAAATGAGAGCTATACACCTAATTTTCTTCCTATTAAAGTCATTTTTGGCCCAGCTGTGTCTCAGTGATTCAGTATTAACCTATGAACCAGGAGGTCACAGTGTGATTTGGGTCAGGGAACATTTCTGGATTTCAGGCAGGATTCCCGGTGTGGGGTATGCAGGAGGAAGCTGACCAATGATTTTTTCTCATCATTAATGCTTTTCTCTCTTTTCTCTATCTCTCCTTCCTTCTCTGAAATCATTTTTTAAATGATTTAAGTAAACTAACATTAAAAAAAAAACATTTCAAAGTCTAGCCAGTTTGGTTCAGTAGATAATATCGGCCTGCGGACAGAAGGATCCCGGGTTCAATTCTGGTCAATCTTACCTTGGTTGCAGCTCCTCCCTGGCCTGGGTCCTGGTCAGGAAGTGTGCAGGAGGCAACCAATCAATGTGTTTCTCTCACATTGATATTTCTCTCTGTATTTCCCTCTCTCTAAAAATCAATGAAAAAATATCTTCGGTGAAGATTTAAAAAAATAGAGAATTACTTTCAAAGTGAAATTAGTATAAGACAGTAACTTTATTCTTCAATTAACTAAGTGTATCTCATGAACTATTAACTTTGCTTAAATTTCGGAAGTTTTGAATAATTTGTAAATTACAACAGTGTTAAAGTAAAATTATATGAATGAAACAGATTGTTATAAAAGTAATGTGTATAAAAGTAATATCCTGGAAATCAACACTTACTCTCAATGATTCTTGGAAGGAGGAGGCTTGGTACTGTGCATACTTAGCAATTGTGGTATGAGATCTATTACTTTCACAATGCCAGATTTTCTTCGTTCCAGTGGGATCCCAGTTTTCATCAGCTGGTTGCAAAAACTGTGTCCTCACTTCTACCATGTGTTCATTGTTAGCTTCTACCAATGTTTTGGTAGAGAAAAGTCCAAGATCTTCATAAACAAAAAATTGCATTAATAAATAAGTTTGTATTTGGTACAATGAACATTTCAAAAACACTTCTAAAAGAGCGCGGAGCTCCAGCCATTTCCATTAAGACTGTTTCAATTACTATGGTACCAAATTTGCATAAAACTCCCTTGAAGCAACAGATCTAGCCATTATGGTGTAACAAGGGAGTAGAGAATTTATGAGAATCTAATTTTATCTGCATTTTATATTCAAAAGGTTCTTGGTTATCTAACCTAAACCACTAATGCTGCATAATGATACCAAATTAAAAATTAAAAATCCACCATAAATTAATCAATAATTAATATTGACAGCATGTATTAACATTGAGAAAGGGAGAACATTAAAATAAAAACTCAAAAATTTAGCATTTTAAAAAATTAATAGTAGTAAAAGAAAATTCAAACTTTAAAAACAAAAACAAAAAAACCTTACCTAATTTAAGAGCTCCAGCAAGGCCACGTATAACTGTAACAGGGTTTTTGGGATTTGTACAAAATTGATGTAATGGAGGAAAGAAAGCATCACGCTTATTTTCCAACTGTAATATTAAAATGTTTTGTTAAATATAAGAAAAATGACTAAATGTTATACAATTCATTTTCATTTATCAACCCAGCACTTTAACATCTACAGTGTATCTTAACTATTAATGCTGTATGGCTACATATTATTTATCATTAGTGTTTCCAAGTAATTAAGACATAACTGCATATAAATTTCCCCTTTAGAGAAATAGATTTTAAATTTAGTAAGTTTGAGATGTTACCAACCAATTGTATCACAAAATTTAGAAGATATACTTAAACATTTTAGCAGTTCAAAAATATTTACTGAGTTTGCTTTTCAAATATAATTCCATAATTCTTTTATAAGAGTGGGAAAAGTGAAATTTACTAGCCTATTATCAAAATACAAAATTATTCAACGTAACCTACAAAAGGTAAATCTTCATTTTGTACTTAATTTTCTTAAAGCTTACTTTGAAAGGTTTATTTTCATCAAATCTCAGAACCTTCCTATCATGTTATCAGTAAATTTTAATTTACTAAAATATTAACATAACAGCTGAGGAAAAAAAGCCAAATTTGCTTGGCTGGTAGGCTCAGTGATTGAGCATCGACCTATGAACCAGGGAGGTTATGGTCTGATTCCTGGTCAGGGTATGTACCCAGGTTGTGGGCTCAATCCCCAATAGAGGGCATGCAGGAGGCAGCCAATCCATGATTCACTCTCATCATTGATGTTTCTCTCTCCTCTTTCTCTGTGATATCAATTTAAAAAAAAAATTTTTTTTAAAGATCCAAATCTCTAAAATCCTCTCATCTGCAAAATCATTCTAAGTACTTAATGTTTAATTTTTAGTTAGGAATTTTTTTTTATCTTGTGTGTTAGAAGGAATGGCAAGAATGGATAACGAGATACTGGGAAAAACATAAAGTATTTTAATTCATAGCAACTTTTCATATTAAATGCTTCAATTTGTGAAAAGTAAAAAATGAAATCAGCTTCAAATTTAAAAATATCTACTTATACTTACTGTAACCTTTTTAGTGATATGTATTTTATATTCTCATCAATTTTATATTCACTACCACTTTTTTGAAAGATAAAAAATTCTTTGTTTTAATCACATAAAATCAAATGAATTTGAAGATCCATACAAACCATCAAGTGGAGGAATGTAGTCTTAGAAACATGTTAACAAAAAGATGACACAAAAACAAAATTATCTTTTACTACTCTCATATGCATGGATGAGAAAACACTTTAAATATTGTTTAAAAATTATTTCTAAATATAACAGTGGTCAACAACCTTTTCTGTGAGAGGACAAATAAATATTTTTGGTATTTATCAACTACATGTTCTTTTTTGCAAAACTTAATACTGCCAAACTCATGCAAAAACAATCAGAGATAATGCATGTATGTAAACCACTTTGTATACCAGCAAAACTTTATTTACAAGAAGAGGTATTTACCATATTTAGACTGAGAGATACAAATTGGCATCCATCCTCTAAAATTTGTCACCCATTCTCTGAGATACAAACACATTTTTGCAAAATCTTCAAATTACTGAGAAAAAAATTTAACCTTACCTAACTTCTAAAAATCAATTTAATTTGCATTGGTTTAAAATATATCTTCAAAAGACAGACAAGTTCAGCACTTGATTTCTAAGTAATTAATGAGACTCACATAAATACTAGGTGTAGGTGGATTCAACTTGTCCTTTGGCAAGGGAGGGTATGGTGACATTGGTGGTCTTGGAGGTGGACATTTATCAAAAAAAATGGGACTATTCGACAAGCCATTGTTACCTAAATTCCTGTAAAATAATAATTAGAAAAACTGCATCAGCTATTAATTTTGAAAATAGATATTTTAAATCTAAGTTTTAGGTATAGGGCATTTATAAAAATAAAATCATTTAGGATATTTGTAATCATTTCAGTAAAATAACAAGACAGAATAATTGTAACTTTAAATGCATACTCAATTGGACTTTTTATATCTTTTAATCGAAATTAAGCAAGATATATTTATAGCCACATGATATAAATAATCCAAATTTCTCAACATATTTACCCTTAGATTTTCTTCACTTACTATTAAAAGAGCAACTTATACAAAATATTTTTTATATCTATATTAATTTCTAATACTTCTCTCCTTTTCTATATATTTTAACTATTTCCAGAATACCTATGTGATCACTTTAAAATCTAGAAAGTCCACTTGTTCTCTATTCTTAAAATTGATTGTGCAACACCCTAATATTCAACAAGATTCATAATTATAATAATTTTAAAGTCAATTGTACAGCTGCTATGAGTTCTCATCTATAATAATAAAAGAGTAATATGCTAATTAGATTGGTCAGCTGAATGACCTTCTGGACGAAGCCGAGGCTGTGAGGGCCGAGGCAAGCCACCGCAGCTGCAAGTGCCAATCCCCTTGCACGATTTTCGTGCATTGGGCCTCTAGTATTATACATACTTATCTGGATGAACTTTTTTTCTCTTTAACTAAAGGAATCATACTGCTAAGTTATAAGTTCTAAATATGTAGGAAAATTAATCCCTAACTCAAACTTCTTTATTTTTAGTATAAACTTCAGACACTTATAAATCCTTAAATTTTAAACGGAAAGCAAATACTAAAAATTATGAAGCCTTTGAAATAGTTACTTCTGGAACAATGGAAATGTTTAAATATGGATGGTATTACATGTTAAAATTTGATATGGAGCCTTAGCTGGCGTGGCTCAGTGAAGCGTCCTGGTTTTGATTCCGGTCAAATGTACATGTCCGAGTTGCAGGCATGCAGGAGGCAGCCAATCAATGATTCTTTATCACCATTGATGTTCCTATCTCTCTTCCTCTCCCTCTCCTTTTCTCTCACCACTGATGTTTCTATCTTTCTCTCCCTCTTCCTTCCACTCTGAAATCAATAAAAATATATTAAAAAATTTATTTGACATGAAAATGGTGAAATTATAAACTGAAAAAGGAAGTATGTTGTGAAGTACCTAACTATATATATAAATACACAGCAAATATGTGGTAGTCTGACAGGCTGGAATATGGTATTTTTATTGTTTATATTTTCTAACTTTTCATAATGTAAATGTACTATTATAAAAAAATTTTAAATATCTGATTTTATAAAATCAGGATCAAATTAAAACAAAAAAGAAAATGTTGGTTGCTCACTGATACTGAAGCATAAAAAAGTTGCTTATGAAAATGATATTTTAGATAAATTCTACAACATTTTATATATAATTTCTATTTATTATAAAATCAAAATATTTTTTCCATTTTCTGATTTGGGTAGTAATCAACAATATTCACTTTGTGATTAAATTTCCCATACTAACCTGCATGCCTTCAGAACTTCTGTGGAACTTGAATATATAGACACAGACATTGATGGAATAATCTGAGGATCAGATTTGAGGTTAATTATAGGTGAGTCTGGTTTTTCAGAGCTCTGTATGTTCTCTAGTCCTTCTCTATTAATTGTGTGTAATCTATTTTGAGGACTGTTAATGCTGCCAACACTGTGTGTGGTTGTCTGCTCAGTGGATTTTGAAAAAGGTATTGTGGTGAAAACGACTGAAGAGGGTGAAGAGGTAATAGAATTATTAGTCTTCGTATGAATAGCTGGGTAAATACTACTGGCTTTGTCATAGGCACCAGTATCTACACTGTCACTGGCTTTTCCAATCAATGAAGGAGAGATATGAGGACTGTTTGATAGTAAATTTGGTGATGTACAATTTCCATGGTTAGGATCACAAACAGATTCTACCGTCAGCTGCTGAACATGATTAGGAAGTCCCTGGACAACAGCACAGCCATTAGATATGTCTCCAGTATGCCTGCTTGTTTCAGGCACCAAAGACCTATATCCTGAAGGTTGGCTCTCTTTGGTAAAGGTAGTGCCTTGCTGTCCACCTGAGGTAGCAATATGAGATGAGAGGTGATTGAGAGCAGCTCCCTGTGTCTCTGAGTTGCTAGAGAGAGTTCCATGTCCAATCTGTTTCTGAATGCCAACACTAGCTGCTTGGAGATACTGGACAGGTCCAGTGGAAAATGAAGGTTGTTCATCAGTAGGTCCTGACAAATGTGAACTCTGATCTCTGTGAAGCCCCTTTAAAAAAAAGAGAAACAGAGATAAAGTAATTAAAAAGGTTTAAATCTATAATTATGCAAATCCAACAATAAAACAGATTAAAAATGTTAAATAAAAGCAGACACACACACACAAACCACAATTAAATGTGTAATACAATTTATCTCAAATCCCAAAATTTAATTTTTAAAGTTTCCATTACCAAATGATTAAAGTAGTGCTTTTAGGGAAAATTATGAAACTGGGCTGATCCTATTTTTATTATTTGGTGTAGTATTTCTTCAGGTTTTGAGGTTTAGACATTATTTTTCAACCTCGTGAGCAGGAGACATATGAGCGGTGCGCTCTTGTCCAAGGAGCATCAGCCCTGTGAGCAGCCTGCCTCGAGCCTCATCTGGCCTGCCTGTGTCCAAGGAGCATGAATCTTGGTGACGCAGTGGGACTACAAATCAGAAAGTTCATAGTCCATCTGAAGACTCTGGGAAAGGCACTTTCCTATACCTGACTCACCAGATCTGATCTCTGAAATGGGTTCAATAATCTGTCTTTGACACATACTCAAGTTGAGGACAAATGTGGCCAGACAGATCTTTTGCAAAGATGTGATGTTCTATAAATAATATGTCATTGTAGTAAAGCAGCCTGCCCGATCCGAGGAGCAGCAGTTCTGCGAGCGGCCCGCCCTCATTCAAGGAGCAGCAGCAGCCCACCCCTGTCCGAAAAGCAGCAGCCACACGAGCAGACGGCCCA